CTGCGCGACGTGTCCTTGAGTCCTCGACTTTTTGGAGTCAATCTCCAACCTGCCCAATCATTCACTGCCATGTACACATTTTCTCTTTTGTTGCCACTGTTGGCAGCTCTCGTCGCGAATGCAGCCCAATTGACCATTCAGTCTCCTCGATTTGCGGTCTCTGGCTCTGATGGAGGTCAGCTACGCTCAGAATCGTCAGTACGCGCCACGTTCTGTTGTCTATATACTGACATCATTTTACAGTATCTCGTTGGCGCGGAAACCAGGAAAACCAGTGGAGCTTGGTCCTACTGACACACTTAAAGTGACATTCCAAGTCACGGAGAAGGAGAGCGAACAAGGCGTTCAACCGCATCAGACATTCCTCCGTTTCTTGGATGAGACGTCTGGCGAGGAGGGTATCCAGCCGCTCAAAGTAAGCCCTTCAGGGAAGGTCAAGTTTGAATTAGTACGTTCCTTTTCAAAATACTTGTTCTGGTCCTTCCTGACGCGTTTTGTAGAACATGGCGCGTCCACCGACATCTCTGCCCCCTTCTGGCGACGCACCTCTCAAAGTCTCCCTTATCCTTGGCTCTTTCGTCCACAGCCCCGCCAAATTCGACCTATTCGACCTTGCGATCCCTCCATCGCTTCCCGCACCACACCATCCCGAGGAAACCACTTTCCATCCTCTCCCCGAGATTCAGCACACTTTTCGTCCAGACCAGAAGTTGCCGCCCGCCTTCATTTCGGCCGTCTTCGTGGGCTTGGTCGTTTCTCCCTGGGCAGTTCTTCTCGGTCTCGTGCGTCAACTTCTCTTGCACCGCCCCTCATTCACTAACGACGTGTTTATAGTGGGGATCCGTGCGCCCTCGGGTTCCCCGCCTTTTCTCTCCTAGCATTTTCCCATTCACCCTTTCCCTCGTCGCGATCGAAGTGCTGCTCTTCTTTTACTGGGTCGAGCTTCGTCTTGGCCAAGTTCTTTTCTACGGCGCGGGCGCCACGCTGGTTACAGCGTTCACAGGAAAACAAGCTCTAGGGAGCATTGCTGCACGCAGGGTGGGCAATAAATAGAGATGTCGACGTGTAAAAGTATTTATAGCAATGCTCCGTCTCCATGCTGAACCCAAGTTTACTCAATGGTCATCGGCATGCCCCTATTGAGATTCGGGTTTGCCCAGTTTGATTCTGTCGCACACAACATGGATGGCTCTCCTTGGGGGTAGTGGGTGTCTCCATTATATGACCGTCCAAACTGCCGTTTTCCAACAGCGCCGGGATCGGGCGAGGTTTGGTTGACTCAAGCAACACTGCAGCTTCTCGCGGTCAGGCTGCCACCGAGTGTCACGATATCCTTTCTCCTGCCGAGTTGTCCTGCTCCCGACCTGATATAGTGAATCTTGCGTTCTCGCTCCAACCTCTCCACTAGCGCTGATAATAAAGCGACTGTGTTTACAATTTCAGTCGAGCCTGCTCTTCTTGAGATTCGTGGTACTCGTCATAAAGCCTGCTTCGAAGGGCGGAATGGCGGGTGGTCAGGGAGGATATGTTAACGCACTCGCACACAAACCCGTAAAAGAGTGAATAAGATTAAAGGTGGTTTACACTAAACATGAATGGTGGACACCGCCTTTCCTACAGCGGCAGATTTCAACGTTGTTCATGCCCGTGGGCTTACTTGTGGCAGAGGACCCAATTTCGCAACGAAGGGCTGGGTGATTGTTGCCGGTGCAATTCCCGAACCGTAGCTAGCCTTCGCAGGTGGAGCAGCGAAGGGATGGGCCTCGGTGTTGAAAACATCTAGGTCAGTAGTTAGTATGCCTTCCCGAAGTTATAAGCATAAAAACTTACAGTTATCGAGACTGTACTTCTCCGGGTCATCGAAAGTAAGATAGCTAAAGAAACTAATTGGCATGAGGAGATAACAACGGGTGAACAACACGCACAGGTACTTCAACACCTCGGCGAACCAGAAGCTCTCTGTTTCGTCCACGCGGCCACCCGATGTGTTGTCCACGTTGTTAATGCCGGTAAAGCCAGTGTCGACCTTGAGAAACTCGTTGAAGCTGTTCACTGCGCTCGCCGCACGATCAGTATACTTGGTGTCACCAGTAACGCGCCACGCGTAAAAGTTGCTCTCGAGAACCTCTGGGCGTTGAACATAATCGGAGTCTGTGATATAGTACCCGTGCTGCTGGTAGAAGGCTGTTTGTTGAGAGTTCGGGTCACCGTTACCAGTAAAGTCGCCATCCGAAGAAGCGAATGCAAAAGTTTCGGGACCAATGCCAGTCCTATAAAGAAACATAAGTACGACAGGTCAGTAAAAGTTTGGTCAAGGTAACCTACGCGGTCCCCGCATAGGTATTCCAGCAGGCGTCGTTCAATTCAAGGCCCAAATTGACGATAGTATCGTTGTTCAAAAGTTTCCCGCCTTTGCATTGTGATCAGTCAGACGGCATGGCTAACTGATTGAGGTCAACTAGTGCACTCACCAAGTAACCAGTTACCGGCGTGGAAACAAGCCAGATGAGAGCCCGTGTGGCGAATCTGGCGGTTATCGTCGTAGTCCGCCAGATACAAAAAGTTGCCAACAGTTGACCGCTGCACTGGGCTTTAGCATGGCGACGTGGGCACATATGGGAGGACATGCCTTGGCCAGCGTATTGACGGATGTTTCCACCGCCACCGTCCATGTATTGACGAAGAAATCATCGTCGGTGTTCGTGAGGCGAGGGTATTTGATGAGATATTCGAGGTAGCTGTCCGAACCACCGCCCCAAGTCTGATACTTCACATCAGGACACCGGGACTATTTCGATGCACATGATGGACACACGCACAACGTAGCCACCGACTGGTTCGCCAGTAGCAGGATCGATTCCTTGCGCAGGGAAGCCTGATGGATCGTCAGGAATCCGGTTTTGCGCCCGAATCGGAAAAGTACGCGCCTGGGAGAGGAGAAGGCTGGGAAAAATGTTGATATACCGCTAAGAGCACTATTGTTGGGTAGAGTATCTAAAGACACTTACGTTCCTTGCAATCTGACGAACGGCCCCTTCCGCCAGTTGGCGATACGTATCATTGCCCGTGTATTCGCTTTAAACTTCTGTCAGACCAAGACGAGTGGAAGGATTTTAAGAACCCTCACCTTAGTTTTGCCCATTCCATGGTGAGCTGTATATGGCCGTGTTATAGTTCAATTGAGACCAGCTAGAGCCTGACTCACCGTGCCTGCTTCCGCAATATTGCTCTATGTGTGTACATATAAGTAAGATCGAACCGTAAGGCAACGGAGAAGTAACCTACACTGTCCTGGACTGGTTTATTGCCTTTGAAGTCAACGAAGCCATAAGGAACAGGGCTTCCCTAAAAGCATGACATGAGATGTCAAGTCAAGTATACAGAGAACTGCCGTTTACACTCTGGAAGCCTAGAGACAGGCGGTCCGCAAGTTCCTTTGCCTTATCTACAAGAAAAGGGTGCTGCTTCCCGCTCAACTCGTAAGCACTGAGAAGTCCTGCAACGTAACGAATGGTGCTCTCAAACACGCTGGGAAAGTCCTATGAGGATCACGCACTAAATAACAGCGAGACACTCACCTAACAGTGTCGCTTGTTGCTGATTGGTTGAAGTTTATGTTCTGGGCGAAGGTTAGAGCATCTGAAAAAAGGTCCTACGATCACCGATTCAGCCAATGCGGGACAGTTGATACCCGGAGGACTCACATCGAGCCCCATGATATACTAAATTGAGATGGTGGTCAAGACCGTATCGAGCAGGCAAAGAACTCGAAGGTACGAACCATAGTCGTCATGGCATCTACGACGCTCGCTCCCCAGCCATTCCGTGGATCAAGAGCGGTTTTCCTGATTGGAGCGACCTCATCGTGACCCGCCGCGAATTGTCTAGGTGGGACACTAGCGTGAGATTAGCACGACGAGTATGGGTCGCCGACACATACTGGTAAGAGCTGTAGCTTTGTGTGAAGATGTCTACGACCGCCTGCTTGTTGGTGGCTGCATCGGCCGGTAACTGGATGTTAGACGATTGAACTTGTGCTCCCAACGCAACGGGAGCAGAGAGCAGAGCAAGGGACGAGGCTAAAAGTCGATAGGACCGCATCACGACGAAGACCTACGGGTGAGGGCGAGGGCGAGAAGCGATGTCCTAGTTACTGTCCAAGTACCTGTCCTTTATACTGACAGATACACAATACGTACGGATTTAGGTTGCTACGCCACGAACAGACACAGTTATGTTGATGTGGGTAGAATTGATGCATCGCCGCTAGTTGGTCCAGAACGTGCCGAACCGGTGCTGAGCACCAATGATCATGAGCGCATAAAGCAAATGATTGCTCCCATTTGAAAGAGACGAAGTGTTTGGAGTCGGCGCCCGCGCTTGGCCCGCGGTGAGAAGCCTGTAAGAAGTTCTTTGAATGGCTGACGGGATGAAATAACAAGGCGGGGAAGCGCGGGAAGTCAAGCGCGATCA